TGCGTGAACTCGTTCGCTCAGCAAAAAGTTGGAAGCAAAAATTCCGATTTTGGGGGTCCAAAACAGGTTTTCCGCATTTTTCACATACTAGTTTTGTGAAAAGACAGAACAAACAGATATTAGAACAAAACAATCATAGTGACTAACATTTTACAAAAAGATATGCGTGAACTCGTTGGGTCAGAAAAAAGTTGGAAGCAAAAATTCCGATTTTGGGGGTCCAAAACAGGTTTTCCGCATTTTTCACATACTAGTTTTGTGAAAAGACAGAACAAACAGATATTAGAACAAAACAATCATAGTGACTTACCTTTTACAAAAAGATATGCGTGAACTCGTTCGCTCAGAAAAAAGTTGGAAGCAAAAATTCCGATTTTGGGGGCCCAAAACAGGTTTTCCGCATTTTTCACATACTAGTTTTGTGAAAAGACAGAACAAACAGATATTAGAACAAAACAATCATAGTGACTAACATTTTACGGAAAGATATGCGTGAACTCGTTCGCTCAGAAAAAAGCTGAAAGCAAAAATTCCGATTTTGGGGGTCCAAAACAGGTTTTCCGCATTTTTCACATACTAGTTTTGTGAAAAGACAGAACAAACAGATATTAGAACAAAACAATCATAGTGACTAACATTTTACGGAAAGATATGCGTAAACTCGTTCGCTCAGAAAAAAGTTGGAAGCAAAAATTCCGATTTTGGGGGTCCAAAACAGGTTTTCCGCATTTTTCACATACTAGTTTTGTGAAAAGACAGAACAAATAGATATAAGAACAAAACAATCATAGTGACTAACATTTTACGAAAAGATATGCGTGAACTCGTTCGCTCAGAAAAAAGTTGGAAGCAAAAATTCCGATTTTGGGGGTCCAAAACAGGTTTTCCGCATTTTTCACATACTAGTTTTGTGAAAAGACAGAACAAATAGATATTAGAACAAAACAATCATAGTGACTAACATTTTACGAAAAGATATGCGTGAACTCGTTCGCTCAGAAATAAGTTGGAAGCAAAAATTCCGATTTTGGGGGTCCAAAACAGGTTTTCCGCATTTTTCACATACTAGTTTTGTGAAAAGACAGAACAAACAGATATTAGAACAAAACAATCATAGTGACTAACATTTTACGAAAAGATATGCGTGAACTCGTTCGCTCAGAAATAAGTTGGAAGCAAAAATTCCGATTTTGGGGGTCCAAAACAGGTTTTCCGCATTTTTCACATACTAGTTTTGTGAAAAGACAGAACAAATAGATATTAGAACAAAACAATCATAGTGACTAACATTTTACGAAAAGATATGCGTGAACTCGTTCGCTCAGAAATAAGTTGGAAGCAAAAATTCCGATTTTGGGGGTCCAAAACAGGTTTTCCGCATTTTTCACATACTAGTTTTGTGAAAAGACAGAACAAACAGATATTAGAACAAAACAATCATAGTGACTAATCTTTTACTAAAAGATATGCGTGAACTCGTTCGCTCAGAAAAAAGCTGAAAGCAAAAATTCCGATTTTGCGGGTCCAAAACAGGTTTTCCGCATTTTTCACATACTAGTTTTGTGAAAAGACAGAACAAACAAACCTTAGAACAAAACAGTCATAGTGAGTCATAGTGAGTCATAGTCATAGAGTCATAGTGAGTGACGAACCAGCGATTCTTTCGACTCATACGCATCCGATGATGTCCCAATGAGCGGCATCTTCCGCTTTCCGACTTCCTTCTTTGGATCAATGAGCTTCACGTTGTTCAACGTCTTCAGCCTCTTTCTCCAATCCTCTGTCACCGCATCCACTTCTTTCATGACACATTCCAGCTTGCATGGCATCATCGTGACCTCTGGTACTTCTTCTGCTAACTTCTTGATCATTTCGAAGATCTTTTGGTTGACCTTCTCGTCCTTTGTGACTCTCCACAACCAGAGCACATTCTTCACATCCTTCCACTCGTACTTCTCAATGAAATCGCGTCCATGCGAATTCCGAACTTCCAGAATGTTTCTTCTTCCCGAGATTTTCAATCTTGGGGAAACTATCAATGCTGGCTCCTTGATGATCGTCTTCCTTGGCTTGATCTCACTCTTCAGCGCCAATCTGATCTTCACCGCTGCTTCTTCCCATCCTGCGTATGCACCTTCCTTCCTAATTGCCTCTGCCACTTGGGGACACTCCTTTGCAAACTTCTGCAACGCTTCCTCCTTCTCCACCGTTGTCATTTGTGCCTGGAATTCTTTGGAATATTTTAACAAATTCCCCTTTTCCAAATCCACACCTTTTCCTTTGGCTGACAGCACCACTCCGAGTTGTTGCACACTTGAACAAACGTTGTCTCCTTCTTGGACTGTGCACTTTCCTTTTTTACATCCGCCTCCTTCTTCCATCAGCTTTCTGCAAAAATGATTGTATTCAACAACATTTCCCTCAGTCATGATATGATTAACTGTAGCGCTACTTGTCTCACACTTCGCACGCTCAGCATTTCTCTCCCATTTCGCTTTTGGACCTTTTCCCTCTTTCTTTACGCGCTCTTCCTGCTTTGGCTTCCATGCCAGCTCAACACCGATACTTTCAAAAGCATTCGTTCCCAACAAGAGAATTTCCGCTCTATCTTCCACCAGTTGGAACCACACTTCAGCCTTGTTTCCTCTCACCATGATTGGCATCTTTAGTTGTTCTTTCACCGGCATCTTCTTCCCTGAGGCATTCCTCAAGGCGAACACTGGCTTCGTCAGTACTTCGACTCTCTGCCTCCAGTTCACACAACCTTTCTTCAGTGCATCCCACACTTTTGTCGACATGACAGATACTTCTGCGCCACTGTCGATAACCATTATGCGCTTCTGACCCAACAATTCAACTTGTTCCCTCATTTTCGCGCCCACGCCACTTCCTGTTCCATCAGTTTCCACGTGGTGAATCACTTTTGCATCGCAATCTCTAGCTATATGCCCCATTACTTGACATTTATAACATTTTATTGACGCTCTCCATTGATCACTACTCTCACTTCTGTTCCCATGGCTACTGTCTTCTGACCCATTCTTTTCCGTTTCCGTGTCTCCTTGTTTCACCTCCTTGCTCTTCTCCTTTTTCCAGCTATTCTCCTTCTTTTCGTGTCGATCCGATTTTCCGAGCCCTTGCCTTCTCTTGTCTTCGTTCTCTTGCTGAAGAACGATATCCTTAAGGAACTCGTACTGATCCTTTTTCGCCACCTCGTATCGCTTCATAGTCATCAGTTTTTGCATCGTCGGATCATCCCGCAGCGCTCTCATAAGCTTTGTGACTCTCAGCTGTGACAGTGTCTCTTCTTCCAGATGTGGAAACGCTCTCTTCGACCATTTCTCCACAGACATCAAAAACTCCCACATCGGCTGCTTTTGCTTTCGCTCTAAATCCTCAAACTCGTTGAGAGCTTCCACCTCGCGATCTCCTTGCCTCTTCCTCAACTTCTCTTCCAACTCCTCAAACAGCGACTCGATCGATCGATTAAATCGATTCGGAAGTGTCTTGAACAAGGTTCTTGCGGCATCTTTCAAGAATTTGTCCTCCAGACTTGCTACCATATCGGCATCACGCTACGTGACCGATTTGTACTTCAGAAGAAAAGATCTCTTGAACTCCTTGACATCTCCTTTTCCGTCGAACTTCTCTGGTTCTGGCAGAGCTGACGCCCTCATAATTCTGCTTAGGCACTCCACTACCATTCGCGAACTGTCCCGTGACACTCGCGAACATCTCTCACTGTCGCGCTCACACTTTCTTCTTTCGCTGACTCGCGGAAAATCCCCCACACTGCTCTTCACTTCCCAATTATTCACCTTCACGCGCCAGTCTTCACTTCAATCATTTTTCAGGTCACACTTCTTAGAAAAAGACTCACCGGTCTTTCTTTCCTTTCTCTCATCGCGCCAATCCACCGACGAACCATTCGAACTCCTTGACGACGATCTCCTTGAGTGCACCTGAATTTTCTCTTTATTTCTTGACTGTATTTCTTTCTTCTTACCTTCTCTTTCCCATTGGCTTTTCCACTTTTCCGACGTTTTCCTTTCCTTCAGCAGTGCCCTTTCCAGCTCCTCAATCGTTTCTTCTGCCTTCTCGGCGGCTCTCCACGCTTCTTCAAGCTTCTCGACCAACAACTCCTTTTCTCTGCTTGTTCGCTCCAGATTTTCCTCGAATTCTGCTTGCTCTCTCTTTTATTTTTCCTGCAACAATTTCAACTGGTTATGAAACACTTTTGATTCAGTATTTCTCGCGCTCGCTGTCAAATCATCCGGTAAGACCGCATCCCGCAAGTCTTCCAATTTTTCCAGCCCGTTTTCTCGCATTATGCGCATCACAACGCGCTCCCACTTTCCACTGCCCAGCTCGTTGTAGCGCTTTGTCAATTCGCTGACAAACTCTTTCATTGGCTTCACGATCACATCTTTCTGTCTCTCTGAACATTTGCTGTGCACGCCCAACTGCTCACGCACACTCTCCACGACTGTCTCACTGGTTCCGATGAAATCAGCGTAACCTTTGACAAGCTTCTTTCGCTCTCTCAGCGTTACCTGATTCTGCATCGCATCTGCCCAGCTTTCCATCGTCGCCGTCCTCACTGCACTCTTCTCGGAATCCACCGACTTGTCCTTGTTGCTTCTTGACTTGCTCCCGATCGTCGTCATCTCCAAGCCTGAAAACAAATCTTTCCTTCAAAAGAATGTTGGGCTTTTGTTGAATCTTCTACGGTTATCGCGTCTTTTCGACAGGCCTTCACCTGATCGAACTCTTCGTTGATCAATTTCACAATAATTTCCTGCCGGTTCCTTCAAACTCGGAGAAATTATTGCGAAATTCACTAATTTTCACAACAATCCTCTCACTGGATCCTTCAAACTATGGAGAGAATTGATGCAAAAAACAACAAAAAAGAGGTAAAAGAACGGATAAACGGAAAAAAAAACGGTTCGGCCCCCACATATTGTGTGATGAATGTTTTTCTGATAGATTTTTTTTCATCAAGTGTTTCAAGAACTTCTGAAAAAGCGACGCTTCAAATTCTGAACTTTTTTATAGGAAAGACATTTACTATTTACATCAAAATCACGTTTCGGGGTCAGAATATTATTTGTACCTTTATCGCCGGAGAATCAATGAAACAAAACTAGAGCTGTGTAAGCATCAAATTCGTTTATTATTCAAGGAAGTGAATTTCAAATAAAAGTGTCGTGATGCTTAAAAATTGTCGTGTGCTTTTAAAGTGAATGGAAATGATCCTAATAATATTTCAAGAAAAGAACAGGATCACAAAGTAACACGGTGAATTGGGTAGACTGGGTTTCAGATAGAAATGTGTTGAACACAATTAATTACGGGTAACAAAAAAACCAGGTGAGTTTCCGTCACCCTGTCATCTGGATAATTAAAAATTATTTTTGTAGTTTCTAGATATCTCATGAGTACCAACTTACAGAAACCTAATTTATTGATGTTTCATGTCTTTTGATTTCATGGTATCCATCTTTCCCCTTGCTACCTCTGCACACAGCCATTGTTCATCGGATTTTTTGAATGTTGTATTGCATTGTGTCTTTAAAAATAAATATTTATTATAAATTGGTTCAAAACTAGAAAAATGTTTTAAGGTTTTCTAGTTGTGAACCACGTTTTTCTAGTTTTGAGTCGATACCATTATTTTGAACAAAAAATTTTTTTTGGGGTTACGGTATTATATCGCGGCCAAGAGGGGGCGTGGCCTATGGGTATTATGGTCAAAAGTCTCAGAGTAAGCACCTTTCCACAAGCATCCACTTTTCCATATCAAACAAAATGCCCCAAAGTTCATTCAAAGAAAACAAAAAATTAAATAAATTGAGAAAAAAAACTGAAAACGGAAGAAATCAAAGATGTTTTAAAAGTTTTTCATGCAACAATTCCATTCTTTTACTATGAGATTGCAGCCTCACCTTTTTCCTTGTTTTTTTCATGACTCAGACACAGAATACAGTACTCCCAAGCTAGTTATAGCAATCTACTTTTTTTCCTTGCTGACATCTTTCTAAAAACTTTTTTTCAGCAAGAACCTACCTCTTATCAGTTTTCGGAGGGTCAAACCTTTTTTGCTGATAAGATTGTTTTCATTTTGAGAGATTGTCAACAAGTTGTTCCACGTGCTAACCACGCCCACTTCTTAAATTGCAATTGTTTCATTTTCATTCATCATGCTCAGGATGTCTTTAGAATACCAGTAAGTTTTGATTTTTTTTTTGTTTTATGTTTTCATTTCTAAATTTTAGATTGCGCCGCCAGATGGAGGAAATGCAGCTGCAATTGGGCCTGTGAGTCCCTAGAATCAGATAGAGAAGGCATTCAAATTTTACAGTTTATCGTCAGAACTAACAGAAATGAAAAGGCGGAATGATGAACTAACCATGGAAAAATTGAACTGGGAGAGAAAATCGAAGACGTGAGTGATTTTAAAATTTTAAAACCCCTATAAACGAATTTTGAGAAATACATATCTTCATGTCCGCTCTCTTTTTAAAGGTTTCACTTTTATTCAAGGCTGTCGGAAATGGCGGCCGGCCGGCCTCTCTTGTTGAATTGACAGCGCGGCCGTCAAGGGCCGGGCGGCCGGCCGTGCGGAGCCTGAGAAAATTAGTTAAAACTGAACAGATTTTCAAAAAGATGAAAAATAGGTTTTAAAAAAGAGCGAAAGTTTGGAAAGTAGCGAACATATAATTTTTTTTTAACTTTACTGATGAAAATGAAAGGTGGAGAAGAAAAACAAATTTTTCAATTGAAAAATTTCCCCGTTCATTTAGTAATTTCTCTTTCTCTGTTTATATTTGTCGTTACAATTTCCACAATTTTTACATTCATTAATTCTGAACTATTAATTTTTAAAATCCTTTTTTAAACTTTCTATTGGCTGTAAATGTTTCGCACGATGAAAAAGCAGAAATTTACAGAAAAAGTATATAAGATAAGGGATTCAAGAGCAAAATACCGCAAAACAGATAAAGTCAAAATTCATTTCAAATGACGGCCGGCCGGCCTAGGCCGAGCAGAGTGTTTCCAATTGCGCGGCCCTGTTTCCGACAGCCTTGCTTTAATTTACTTTTTATTAATTTCAGATTGGAGGAAAAAAACAAAGCACTGACACATAAAACCGGAAAACTGGAAGCCATGAATAAGGTCTTAAATAAGGTCTCAAAAATGCTCATTTCAAAACTCCAAAATGCAAATGAGAAACGGTTGGTGTCGATACCGGAAACTTTCAATCAGCATTTCATTTAAGCTCCAATCTGGCGGAATTTGTGGCCATTCTTCAAGAAAACCTGCTTGAACTCGAACATACCAGCCAGGTGAAATCGGATAGCCTTCAGAAAAATATGCGATTTCAACAAGACCGAGCAAGAAAGTTGAAAAGTGCATTATTGGAAATGATTGGTGATTTGACAAACTTTGCATCAGACATGCGAAGGAAAGAACAACATTTGTAGGTTCCCCTTAAGATTTGTATTTTAAAATAAGACATTTTTAGACCTACTATTGGAACCAACAACATTGAAGACACTCAAATCCAAGAATTCGTTGCCTGGGCGGTACACCAAGCTGAAAGATGGAATCAGAGAAGTGTCGCTGAACTAACG